ATATCAAATAAAAATTTATTGAATGACGGGGGCTGCTCACATAACAAGTTTACTATCTGATATTGATTGGGGATGTGTTTTGGCTAGCCCCGATGTGTCTACTTGTTTTACTACTTTTAAAACTATCGTGCATCAGTTTTGTGTAAGTAATATACCAGTTATTAAAAAAAGGAGTTATAAGCTACCTTGGTATAATTACGAATTAAAATGGTTAAAGAATCTAAAGAATAAATTCTTTAAAAAGTTCAAGAAAACGGGAAACCAGATCTTCTTTTCTCAATATCAAAAACATCTAAAGAAATTTAATTGTTTAGATAAATTCCTTTATAGAAATTACATACTTAATGTTGAATCAAATATAAAATCTAACCCGAAGACTTTTTGGCAGTTTATTAAGTCGAAGAAATCTAGTTCCGGCATACCTTCTGCTGTTTTCTTTCATGACAAATTTGCTCGATGTCCAGTTGATGTGGCATGCCTGTTTGCGGAATTCTTCAGCTCTAACTTAAGTTCTGATGACGGCGCTTCCCAACCAGATTGTGATTTTGCGGCGACTTCTTCTCTTAATTTTGGGTCTTTAAGTTTGTCGTCTAATGACGTTGCGAGTGGCATTTCCAAACTGAAACCGTCTGTAAAAACTGATATTGATGGTTTGGCAGGTGTATTATTGAGAAACTCTCCCTCTTTAATTTTCCCATTGAAACTGATATTTAATAAATCACTAGCTTCTGGGGTATTTATTGATGATTGGAAGATCACTTCTATTGACCCTCTTTTTAAGAGTGGGAATAAAAGTGACGTATGTAATTATCGGGCAATATCAAAGTTGTCTTTGGTGTCAAAACTCTTTGAAAGTATTGTAGTAGAAAAAATGTATTTTGCAACTAAGGGCTTAATTTCACCCAATCAGCATGGCTTTTACTACGTTTATACGCATGCATAAGTCGCTTTAATTAATTTCGCCGCGATTCAAAACATATGTATAAACTGAATTTCAATTCGCTTTGAAAGAGCAAAGTGTTTTGGCTCACACTCCATTTCAAATCGGTAGTTTATTTCTCCAGACAGTTAGAAAGAGTGTATAAACACCGCTCTCACTCAAAGCGATTTGGAGATTAGCTGTTCCGTTAAAATTCCAAATAATCATATCAGTATTTAAAAGCTGATTAATAATAATCGTTCTTTTTCTTTGTCACGATTTTATAATGCCGAATAAAACTAGATTTTTTCACTTTCCATTATGTTAACTTATAAAATGTCAAATGAAAACAGCTGATTTTGTTTGCTTTTGAAGACGGCTACTTTGATACCGATATAAAGCCGTAAGTATAAACACTAGAGCGAAATGTGTACGGTGTCAATGCGCTTTCAATTAAGTCGATTATTCTGTGCGTATAAACGTAGTATTTGTGTCTAGTCGCTCAACAGTCTCGTCTCTAATCTAACTGTTTTTACTGAGTACTGCATTGCATCTTTTTCAAGTGGATATCAAGTTGATTGTGTTTACACAGATTTCTCGAAGGCTTTTGATAAAGTTTCACACTCGATATTAGTTAGGAAGTTAGCATGTTTAGGTTTTCATTCCGACTTTTTGCGTTGGATTAAGTCTTATTTAAGTAACAGACGATGTGTTGTCACCATAGATGGAACAACTTCAGAACCTTTTATAGCCTCCTCTGGGGTTCCTCAGGGGAGTATATTAGGTCCATTGCTTTTTGTTTTATTCATAAATGATGTAAGTACTTGCTTCACTTTTGCAAATTTTTTGCTATATGCAGATGATTTAAAAATATTTTCGATCATAAAGAGCTCATCTGATGCGACAAAGTTTCAAGCTGAAATTGATAATCTGCATCGTTGGTGCACTAAATATTGTCTTTCTCTGAATGTTAAAAAATGTTTTAAAGTCACCTATGCAAAAATTTGCAATATCGTGGCTACGTCTTATAGTATATCTACTACAATATTAAATTCTGTTAACGAGATCAAAGACCTTGGCGTAATTTTTTCTTCAAATTTTTCTTTTAATAGCCATATTTGTCATATTGTTGCAAAAGCTTACGCAATGCTTGGATTTGTGAGGCGAAATAGCAAAAGTTTTTCTGACCCATATACCCTCAAATTGTTGTTTACGTCTTTTGTTCGCTCTAATTTAGAATATGCTGCAATTATTTGGAGGCCTTTCCATAAAAACATGATAAATCGAATTGAACGTGTTCAAAAAGTCTTCCTAAAGTTCGCTTTGCGCAACTTAAATTTTTCCGAACCATTACCATCTTATAGTTCTCGCTTACTATTAATAAATCTTAAGTCTTTGGAGATAAGAAGATCTGTTCTCTCTTTGTCTTTTACGTTTAATATTATTATTGGTGCTACGGACTGCTCCATTCTTTTAGAGAAAATTAATTTCAACATTCCTCGGTGTAGCTTACGATTTTTTCCCCCATTTTATGGGGATAATCACAAAACAGAATATGCACGTAATGCCCCTATTGCACGCGCAATTAATGAATTCAATATGATCTCTAAAAATGTAACTATTGATTTTTCTTGTTCGATAAATGTTTTCAAAAATCTGTTGAACTCAATTTTATAAATTTTATTAATTATCAATTAAGTTGAATTTTGTTAACTAGTCTGTAAGGAACTTTTGTATGTTCATAGACTCAATAAATAAATAAATAAATAAACACCCCAATTGTAAGACTGCTTTTACACAGTAAATTATTGAATTCAATTCTGCTCGCTTATGAAAGAGAGGGGGTGAGAAGAAAAGGGACGAGTACACATGCGTCTGTACCGTGAAGTAGTTTCGACTTTCTTGCTTTGCTTTTAACCTTTTCGTTGTTTCCCATTTAAAGAACCAAAAACTTGAATTCAACAGAATTGAAGCGTGTAAAAGCAAATAGAAACCACATAAGAGAATCAGCAAGCATTGCTTTCAAGTACTTGAATCATGTAAATCGGGTGTACCAATGTTAACGTGGTTACGGTTCACGATGCA